CATCTACTACGAGGTAGTAGTGTCCAAACTCCGGACCTCCGGCTGTGGTGGAACTACAAATCCCATGAGGCATTGCAGCATGGGATTTGTAGTTTCGCCACAACTGGAGGGCCGGAGTTTGGACACACCCTGCCCTACACACAGAGATGCAGGAAGGTCCATTTAAAGCTGAATTCTGGGCAAATGGATAAATACACAGACAACAGGCATTTATAGGAGCTGTTTTACCTGCCAGATGATTTAGATTGCCGTGTAACAAGTCCTGAGATTTACACAGCTCTGCAACATGGCACAGCCCTACCTGGCAGGGCAGGAGACCTACGTTTTCTCTGCTGCAGTAAAGGAGAACTATGAGGTGACTGAATATCGCTCAAACTCATAGTTCGAGCCGACGTGTGACAATGAAACTGTCACAGGTCGGCTCAATAGATCGGGAAGTGAGCGAACGCATACCGTCGCTCGCTCACTTCTCGATCCTGTCCCTGCTGAGAGCCGTGAGTGACAGTCGTCTCTGGGACATGATCGAGAAGTGAGCGAGCAACGGTATGTGTTTGCTCACTTCCCGATCTATTGAGCCGACTATTCTGCCCCTTCCCCGCTCCTCCAGCGCCGACTGGAGGAATGGACAGGGCAGGGGGCGGGTACAGCTGGCTCTGCCTCTAGATAGGCAGAGCCAGCTGTCAATCACGAAGCTGGGTGGATCTTGATAGTAATGTAGGGATCCGTCCCGGCTGCGGTGGTCTCAGTATACCGCGAGCTGTAGCTCGCGATATACTGAGCTTTGGGGTCACGGGAGGACGCTAGTTTATGTCCTCCCGTGACCCTTAAGAGAACCATGGGGAAAAACACTTACCCCATTGTTCTCCTTTAAGTAGTACTAATAAGTCTTGCTCCTCCCCCAACCTGTAATTGGGCAGCAAATTCAGAAGCAGCAGACTGATGACTCCTATCCACACCTTCCTGGATGGCATGTGAGGATGGCAGTGTAGTTGACGGCTTCCTTGTGCTGCTAATCCCAATCCAAGCTCTGCTGTGGAAAAGGCTGATACAAAAACAAGTTGAGGTTCTTTTACTACTTGCATTAGAAAACACACTTCATGATGCATTCATTTATGTCTGCCCGGAGTTTAGCTTTAAGTTGGACCATGCAGCGTTTCCAAAGCACTAAAGATCCAATCATGGTAGCCGCCGCCACCACCAACGGGTTTCCTACCATACGTACAAGTATAGCGATGAGGGTCAGACCCTCTGGTTTTCTTTTGTCTTCCATTCCGTTCTGTAACGTTGTGACTATAACTTTGTATCCCTTTCCTATCCTGTGTGACGTATAGGGCAGGGACTGTAGATTAGGGCTTGCTCTTTGCTATGCATCCTGCTCCGCATTGCATGTGCGCCACAGGCCGAGGCTGCCACTGAACGTGCTCATCAAAGTGAATGCGTACGCGGTGCTGCTTGTCGACGCCAAACTCAAGCCTCCCTCATGCCCACTGAGCCAAAGAGGGCTTTATAAAGAGAGGATTGTTACTGACAAAGCTTCTATCTCTACAGGTGGGGACTGTGTCCAAAAAGAGGGAGCGAAAGGTGACAGCGGAAGACATCGCCGAGCACGACGCAGATGCCGGCCACTTCTCCGACGATGAAGTCAGCTGTTCTCTCAACATCACGGATGAGATGAAGAGAATGTTCAACCAGCTGTAAGTATGATGGGATACCATATGTGTGACGAGCGAGTGTTGTGTCCCATGGCTATGCTTGTGTATGAAGAGGGCAGGTACTTATCAAGTGGAATTCAGTGCTATAAATAAATAGGATCCTGATAATAACCCTGTTTTTTTATTTTGCACAAGATTTACTAACAAAAGGGTGAAGAGTTTGGAGAAGACCGGAGAAGTTAACAATCTAGGCCAAAATAGCTGATCTGGAAAAATTCTTCAATTAAGTTCACATTTCCAGGTTCAGCGATGTTGTCCTAGATTGTTCACTTCTCCGGCATTCTCCAAACTCTTAGCCCCTTTTGTGAATAACCCTGAAAATGGTTTATAGAACTGCTTTAAAAGAGTATTTTAGGCCCCATTCACACTGAGCGACATGAAAATTGCGCGATTTTATATGAGCGATATTGAGCGACTTGTCCCTATTGGGCTGTATGCAATCAGGAGCAAAATCGCTCGAAAAAATGGTCATGTAGGAGCGACAAGCGATATTGAGCGACGAGATGTGAACAGCTCCATTTGAAATGGATTGGAGAAGCTACATAGAGCGATATCGCGTGGAAATATGAGCGATATCGCTGCAAAAATCGCTCGATAAATCGCTCGGTGTGAGTGGGGCCTTAGAGCTTCCTCCCATTGTCCATTGCAGCTGCGACAATTTTAAATTGGGCAATTTGTAGGAGGATTCTGCTAGCAAGAGAACAACTTTTTCGAGGGCTGCCCCTATACTCCTGAATCATCAGAAGCCGTGCCCGAATCTGTTATCTGCCAAACTCATTTCCTCATATCTGGGCATAAGAGCAATCTTTCTAAATGAATGGATACCGCAAATTCTCAAGTTGCAGAAATCAGTCCAAAAACAGTTTTCACTTATCACACTAAAGACTTCCTTTTGATAAAACTGTATCTGGACTTATTTCCTTGGCATTGTGCTTTCATCCATCACTATCCTAGGGATCTCCCCCCCCCCACCAAGACTTCACCACGTACTAGAGAAACCATTTTATACAAATCAATGAGGTGCAGCGCTCCACCACTCTACGTCCAGACCGTCCTGTGCTGACGCTCGCTATTCCAGTGCTCAGGTTTTAGGGGACCCAAATTCCAGCAGTGGTGGTGACTGGTGGCACTCCTGTGCTGACACTATTCCAGTGCTCAGGTTTTAGGGGACCCAAATTCCAGCGGTGGTGGTGATTGGTGGCACCGGAAGCAGTAGATTTCTTTGATTATGGCTTTGTTCCTCTGAAAAGTGGCACAGCAGTGACAGGAAAAGATCTTGTACACCTATTTGTGAACAATAGAAGTTGTTACAATTTTGCTTCCGCACCTAGTGGTTTTATTTTATAGAGCAATCTTTTTAGGGCCACCTCCAGTTTAAAGTGGAGGTTCACCCTACACTTTGATCATTTACCAGCCATACATACACCTGGATATATGCATGGCCTCAGGTTTAATGTCTCTCCGTGCTCCAGCAATCAGCAGTGGAAACTGCCGGCCATTTACCGGTGATCACATGCAACTCCTGGTGTCACTTAACCCCCCTCATGCTATCTACGTCTTTGACAGCATTGCGGCACAGAGAAAGCGTTTCTCAGTCGGCATTGCAATCATAAGTAATAGATTGCATAGGGGGGCTCAGCGACACCGTGAGTTGCATGACGTCCCGGTATATGGCCGGCAAGTTCCAGTGCGGATTGCTGAAGAATAGACAAAAGTCAAATATGGTGCTATGCCTTTTTATCAAGGTACATGTGCTATATGGCTGTTATATGTATGTAGAGTAAATTTGTTGAATGTGACCACTGCACGCCATACAGCATTGTGACCATTGTAGATAAGATAGGTGCACGTAGTGACCGCCATGGATGGTGCCATGCAAAAGCTCAGAGATGTGAAGATGGTTCACCAGCACTCCACAATGTGCCGTGACCAGTGTAGATAAGATAGGTGCTCGTAGTGACCGCCACGGATGGTGCCATACAGAACCTCAGATGTGAAGATGGTTCACCAGCACTCCACAATGTGCCGTGACCAGTGTAGATAAGATAGGTGCTCGTAGTGACCGCCATGGATGGTGCCATACAGAACCTCAGATGTGAAGATGGTTCACCAGCACTCCACAATGTGCCGTGACCAGTGTAGATAAGATAGGTGCTCGTAGTGACCGCCATGGATGGTGCCATACAGAACCTCAGATGTGAAGATGGGTCAGCAGCACTCCAAAATGCAGAGGAAAATATTGTTTATTGCAAATAATGTGACATAGGTCAAAATAGCCAACGTATCGAGGGCCGCGCACGGTCCCTTCCCCAAGGGGAAACAACGTCACATGGGTCAAAATAGACTGTTTCGCCTTGGGGAAGGGAACATGCATGGCCCAAAAATCTTAGCTATTGTGACCCATGTGACATTATTTGCAATAAACAATATTTTCCTCGCATTTTGTTGTGCTGGTGACCGATCTTCACATCTCTTGATGTTCACAGAGTAATTCTACGGGTGCACATCTATTTCTTCGACTGGGACCCACATGAAACCAGTAGGGAGGGTAGATCTGCAGTGTTGGTGAACGGTCCCCGATAAGTGGCTGGCCGTGCTGAACGGGCTCCCTGCATATTAGCCATTTCCTGTGTTGGCAGACTGCGATTAGCAGCCGTCCAGACTTGTTTTCCTGGGAAGGGATGTGAACGACATAAGCTGGAGATCTCAGCCAAGTCTGACTCTATCCAGGCCCTGCGACTGTTAGAAGGGAAGGAGGGGCTTGTTTGAAAGATGCCGATTTAAGCCGGACGTCCTAAAATATCCCAGGCCCAACATATGCGCTGATGTCACACCCTGAACTCTGGGTAAAGACTGAAATAAATCCGATATATTGGGACTTTCTATTTAAACGGATAATGTTTCTACAAGCCCAGCTAAGGTCCTCCGAACTCGGGAAGCTTTCTAATGCCTGAGCAAATGATCGGGACACCTCAGACCAGATTGGCAGGCTGCATGCTTGTTTAACATTGATGCTGCAGTGCAGAAGCTGCATTGACTTTGGAGCACACAACATAAATAGTGAACATATTGGGGGCCTGTCTTGTATTGCTCTACCTTTCAGCACTAGATTTCGCTTCGGTTTTCTTTTAAAGGTTTAATACTGTACACCAGGGGTAGCCAAACTCCGGCCCTCCGGCTGTGGGTGGAACTACAAATCCCATGAGGAATTGCAAGATTCTCACTCCTAGGGAGAGAGATGCATCATGGGATTTGTAGTTTCACCCACAGCTGGAGGGCCCAGAGTTTGGCTACCCCTGCTGTACACTTGTCTTATAATGCATTGTAGAGGAGGATGAAATGTAGACCGATTGGTCAAAAAAGGGGAACACTGCGAAAATAAAAGACAATGAAGGGAATTTATCGAAACTGGGGGAGCTGTGCACGGCAACCAATCAGCTTCTCTGTTTCATTTTTAAATCTTAACTGAAGAGAGAAGCTGATTGGTTGCCGTGCACGGAAGCTGAGCCAGCCAGACTTATCTAGAAGTCAAAAGTCTGCTTGTTAAGAAGGCTTCCCATAATACAAAAGCTCACCAATGTAAGAAATACGTTCGCTTTGTACATAAGGTAGCTTGCTCGGCTCCTGAGATCTATGGGGGAGAAGGTTTAATGCAGGGGCGCCCACAATTATTCGTCTGGAGATCTACTTTTCAAATGACGAGCTCAATGAGATCTATCAACGAAAAAACACCTGCATTCAGGGACGGGAGGGGACGTGGCGGTGCATTAAAGTCAATGGCGCTGCACCCGGAACGCAGGCACATTAGTGTCTGCGTTCTGGTCCAGTGCGATCTGCTAAAATGCTGCGTTCTAGAGGCCGAACACTCTGGAACGCAGACTGTGGTGTGAACCGGCCCTCTCTCTTGGCTGTCTCTTCTCTCTCCTTGCGCTCTCTCACGTTACTATGTGCTGTCTCTTCTCTCACTTTCTCTGCTGTCTCTTCTCTCTCTCGCTCGCTCTGCTGTCTCTCCTCTCTCTCTCTCTCTCTCGCTCGCTCTGCTGTCTCTCCTCTCTCTCTCTCTCTCTCGCTCGCTCTGCTGTCTCTCCTCTCTCTCTCTCTCTCTCGCTCGCTCTGCTGTCTCTCCTCTCTCTCTCTCTCTCTCGCTCGCTCTGCTGTCTCTCCTCTCTCTCTCTCTCTCTCGCTCGCTCTGCTGTCTCTCCTCTCTCTCTCTCTCTCTCGCTCGCTCTGCTGTCTCTCCTCTCTCTCTCTCTCTCTCGCTCGCTCTGCTGTCTCTCCTCTCTCTCTCTCTCTCTCGCTCGCTCTGCTGTCTCTCCTCTCTCTCTCTCTCTCTCGCTCGCTCTGCTGTCTCTCCTCTCTCTCTCTCTCTCTCGCTCGCTCTGCTGTCTCTCCTCTCTCTCTCTCTCTCTCGCTCGCTCTGCTGTCTCTCCTCTCTCTCTCTCTCTCTCGCTCGCTCTGCTGTCTCTCCTCTCTCTCTCTCTCTCTCGCTCGCTCTGCTGTCTCTCCTCTCTCTCTCTCTCTCTCGCTCGCTCTGCTGTCTCTCCTCTCTCTCTCTCTCTCTCGCTCGCTCTGCTGTCTCTCCTCTCTCTCTCTCTCTCTCGCTCGCTCTGCTGTCTCTCCTCTCTCTCTCTCTCTCTCGCTCGCTCTGCTGTCTCTCCTCTCTCTCTCTCTCTCTCGCTCGCTCTGCTGTCTCTCCTCTCTCTCTCTCTCTCTCGCTCGCTCTGCTGTCTCTCCTCTCTCTCTCTCTCTCTCGCTCGCTCTGCTGTCTCTCCTCTCTCTCTCTCTCTCTCGCTCGCTCTGCTGTCTCTCCTCTCTCTCTCTCTCTCTCGCTCGCTCTGCTGTCTCTCCTCTCTCTCTCTCTCTCTCGCTCGCTCTGCTGTCTCTCCTCTCTCTCTCTCTCTCTCGCTCGCTCTGCTGTCTCTCCTCTCTCTCTCTCTCTCTCGCTCGCTCTGCTGTCTCTCCTCTCTCTCTCTCTCTCTCGCTCGCTCTGCTGTCTCTCCTCTCTCTCTCTCTCTCTCGCTCGCTCTGCTGTCTCTCCTCTCTCTCTCTCTCTCTCGCTCGCTCTGCTGTCTCTCCTCTCTCTCTCTCTCTCTCGCTCGCTCTGCTGTCTCTCCTCTCTCTCTCTCTCTCTCGCTCGCTCTGCTGTCTCTCCTCTCTCTCTCTCTCTCTCGCTCGCTCTGCTGTCTCTCCTCTCTCTCTCTCTCTCTCGCTCGCTCTGCTGTCTCTCCTCTCTCTCTCTCTCTCTCGCTCGCTCTGCTGTCTCTCCTCTCTCTCTCTCTCTCTCGCTCGCTCTGCTGTCTCTCCTCTCTCTCTCTCTCTCTCGCTCGCTCTGCTGTCTCTCCTCTCTCTCTCTCTCTCTCGCTCGCTCTGCTGTCTCTCCTCTCTCTCTCTCTCTCTCGCTCGCTCTGCTGTCTCTCCTCTCTCTCTCTCTCTCTCGCTCGCTCTGCTGTCTCTCCTCTCTCTCTCTCTCTCTCGCTCGCTCTGCTGTCTCTCCTCTCTCTCTCTCTCTCTCGCTCGCTCTGCTGTCTCTCCTCTCTCTCTCTCTCTCTCGCTCGCTCTGCTGTCTCTTCTCTCTCTCGCTCTCTCTCGCTCGCTCTGCTGTCTCTTCTCTCTCTCTCTCTCTCTCGCTCGCTCTGCTGTCTCTTCTCTCTCTCTCTCGCTCTGCTGTCTCTTTTTTTTACCAACATTGCAGCAGCTTCCCAGGTCTCCTCTCGTGCTCCGGCATCCTGTCCTCCTGTCCTCCTGTCTGCAGCGTCTGACACATTCGGCCGCACGAGCACCGCGGGAGGACAGCACACTGGTCGGTGAGCCGATCGCGATCTACCAGTGTTTCCTGGAGAACAGGAGAACTATGGGGTTAAGGCTTTTCCCCCATAGCAGCCGTTGTACCACACTGCCACCTTGTGGGTTGTATGGAACTGACAAGTCTGAGACATTAGGATCTCTATGCAGCGCTCTACGATCTGAGTAATTGTGTGATTTGTTTCATATTATCTATAGACGAGAGACGTATGACATTGATGATGACTGCGACAGTTTGACGTGGGAGGAGAACGAGGACACGCTGCTGTTGTGGGAAGATTTTGCAAACTGTAACCCGTCTGCGGAAGCTCCGGCAGAGGCAAGTTTTCTCGCAGCCAATTTATCTGGACTGAATGTCATTGTCACCCTTAGAACTGTAGCTTTATTTTACATTTTCCTATGAAGTGAGGCTGCATCAAAAACTATTAACTTGATTAAAGAAAAAGCATCCCCTTCCTGGCAGAAGACCCAGACCGCTCTACTGTGTGTGTGTGTGTGAGGGCCGCAGGTCAGATCTTGGGGGTCCCACATGCCCCCGCACCGTCACTAATACTTTGTTCCTGCTCCCTGAGCAGCATTGTTGATTGGATCACTGTGCAGGGGGCGGTGTCGGAATAGATTTAAATATGGTGCCATTCCGCAGCCCCCACACACCTACCTGGGGTTGCTTCTCCCTGCAAGCCTAAGGCCCCGTTCACACTGAGCGATTTATCGCGCGGTAATTCCCGCAATATCGCGGCTATTTACCGCGCGATATCGCTCTCCAATGCATGGCAATGGGGCAAAGGGTCCTGCTGTCGCGGGTCGTGCGTCGCTACAGCAGGACCCTTTTTGGAGCGGATTTTGCTGCGATTCCAGCTTGCTCAATGCAAGCATTTGCGCGATATCGCGCAAAATGCAAATTGCCCGACAAACGCGCGATTTGAAAATCGCTTAGTGTGAATGGGGCCTAATGCGATGCATAGCTCTCTGCTTGCATTACCAAGCCATTCATTCACAGATCTATTCAGAGTATCGTGCAAAGTTCATTTATTTCACTAATGCAACTTAACCACTGTATATGTAGATAGATAGATATATATATAATATAATTATGGATGCACCGATACTAGTATCGATATCAGTGCCGACAACGAGTATTTTGGCGAGTACTCGTACTCGTCCAAATGCTCCGATGCCTACCACAAGTACTTCCTGTATCAGGAAGCCGGGCATCACTTGTGATGAGAGAGCATGGAGCCGAATTTCCGGCCAATCAGCAAGCTGGGTGCTGTGTAATGACGCAGCGCCCGGCATTCTGATTGGCCAGGAAGCCGGCTTCATGCTCCCTCGTCATCTCATGGGGCACGTGTTAAAAGACAGATTTGCACATTGAAAAAAAAATGATCTAAGAGGCTAAAACTGTCGCAAGTGCTTTGATTCCCCCCAATGTACTTTACTATAAATGGTAGCTCTCTACATCGTCTGCAGAGTTTTTATTCCTTCTTTATTGTCTGTCTCTAGCAGGAAGAGAGTTTGGGCAATCTGATCCAGGAGACGGAAACCTTCCTGAAAACACGGGACAAGGAGTACCAGGAGACCATCGGTCAGATCGAGGTGAGGGTCGAGCACACGCAGCAAAAAAAAAAAAAACAGTTAATCATCAACCACCTGCTATCGGAGATCACCAAATATAATGATTTTTCTTCCATACGACAGATGGAACTGGCGACGGCAAAAAGCGACATGAATCGGCATCTTCACGAATACATGGAAATGTGCAGCATGAAGAGAGGCCTCGATGTACAGATGGAAACCTGCCGAAGACTTATAAAGGGGTCAGTGGGCAGGTGAGGGCCTAACACAATGCCCTAATATAGTGGGAGAGCTTAGAACAGAACCTGGAGGTTAATCAGTCAGAATTAGAGCAAATTCACTAAAAATCTCAGTGAGAATTGAGAACACCCATAAAATAGAGACGCTGCGGAGACTGCAGCTTATACATTCCGTAGAGACATAGTATAGTTTCTTTTTAATCTAATTCATAAGAGAGAGAAACAAGTGGCATAACCTAGAGACCAGCAACATTGCCAAGACTGGTCTCTAGTGAATGGATAGGCTGCAGTGACATCACTGAGAATGCAGCCTATCCATTCACTAGAGACCGGTGACTTCACTGAGAACGCAGCCTATCCATTCACTAGAGACCGGTGACATCACAGAGAATGCAGCCTATCCATTCACTAGAGACCGGTGACTTCACTGAGAATGTCCATTCCCCATCAGTCTAACTTATGAGAGAGGAGAGGATGGAATGGAATATGAGAGTCACATTCACATTTGTTCGTTTCAGAAATTCTCCGTCCACAAGTTCCGTGGCCAGCAGCGACTCGGGGAACTCAGACGAGATGCAGGATGAGTCTGACAAGGACGGAGACGGGGACAGTGCCATCAGCTGATAAGGGACGCTCTCCTGAAAGAACTTTCTCTCTAGAGCGGAGATTGTGGACAAATCAGAGAATATCATTGGAGGATTCCCAGAACGCCCTCCAGACCTCCCTCCATTTATTTGGTGCTGTAAATGTCTATTCTTCTACAGAAAGTTCTGTACATAGAATTCTTCAAGACAAAAAAAATCAAGTGCTGTTTGACATGTGCCTTCCCCTCCTGAGCCACCAAGAGTCCACGAGTCCAAAAAAAGAGGCCAGGTTTCCAGCATTGTATAGTCAAGAGCACCTGTTGCTGTTCTCATCAAGATGACCCTTTTATAACACAGAAAAATGTTCCTTCGTGCTCTTTGGTCAATGATGAATTAGAATTGCCCTCCCCCGTATTATATCTTTCAGGGACTTGCCCCTCCACCCCCATAGCCGCCCAGATCTGTTCCTTCTGCCTTGCAGTCTCATTCCTCCTGTTGCAGCAGAAGGCTCATTGCTGTC